TCTCTCTCTCTCTCTCTCTCTCTCTCTCTCTCTCTCTCTCTCTCTCTCTCTGAGAAAGAAAGGTGGGTCAGTTTGTACCATCACCTATTAAAGTGTTAGTTTGTCTCTTACTCATAACAGTCTAGCTTTGAACATCTTTATGATAATCTCAGAATTCAATAGTTTAACAAATATTATGGGGAATCAAGATCATGTCTATGGTAATATTTTTCTTGGCATGACCCTGCTAAAACAAAACTTAGTGACAATGTCAAAACAAAATTTTTTGATATTGCCGAAGCAAAACTTTTGGAAAAAAACTGTTAAAAACACAACTCTTGGAAGGCCAAACAAAATAATTTGACCATGCTATAACAACACTGTTATTTTTACCCTGCCAAAACAAAACTGTTTGACCAAGCCAAAACAAAACTGTTCGATCTTGCCAAAACAAAACAATTTGACCATAACAGAACAAAACAGACTGGCAGGAACGAAGCAGCCTTCCTCCTAGATGATCGATAATGTGTCAGTGGAGGTATAAACACGTTTTCGTGTCTTTGTGTCTCTGAAATCATGTCACGGTGTCTTTGAAATCGTAGTGTCAATGTGATTTTTAAATCCTGGTGTCAATATGTTTTGAAATCGTGTCATTGTGTCTTTCAAATTGTGTCAATGTGTCTTTGAAATCGTGGTGTCAAGCATTTTTGAAATCTGGGTGTCAATGAGTTTTTGAAATTATAGTTCAATGAGTTTTGAAATCGTATCAGCCTGTTTTTGAAATCATGTCAATGTGTCTTTGAAATCGCTTCAATGTATTTTCCAGAACACACCGGACAAAAATTTCATCATTGACCGACATCCTAAGTGGAAAAATATTGTCTTTGGTGCTGGATTCTCGGGTATGTACACTTCTTTAGTTTTTTAGCTTTAGTAGAGGGTTTTACGGCGCTCGCAACTGCATACGGTCATATGAGCGCCAGAAGATTTGAAGTGTTACAAGTGAGTAACAAACATAAAAAAAGAAAAAGGGGAGATTAGGACGGTAGGAAAGAAGAAGCAAACCACACCAGAGCATCCGCCAACCACCCACTGTACACTTCTGGCTGGAAGTTAGTTTTGTTATTACAGTCGACCTTGCCCAAATGGCTGCCTGTCCACGACATTCACTTGTACAAACGACCTTCTCACTTAAATCCTTTTGCTTTTTCCACACAAAAAATCTATAGTGTAATGACACTCCCACAGGACCACCTATCTTTTTTATACCTTGCCCATTTATATGAGATTGAGGCCATCTGTTTAGTAGAAAAAAGTGCGTATTATTGTGTCTAATAGTGTATTACGTGCATACTTGTATGACAAGTAACTGTCAGAGATAGAGATTCAAGGATTATAGAGGTAAGTCATTCAACTGAGAGCAATGATGATTTTAGAGATACAGGACAACCTGTCTAAGATGGCTCGAATGTTATCTAGATGTTGGCCTCTTATAGTGTAGTTTTCGAGTTCTTTCCACAGCTTGTTTCTGTTCACTCTGTCGAACGCATTTTTCTGGTCAACAAATACCATGTTTAGTTCCCTGTTGTGTTCCGTTACCCTTTCGCACATTCGTCGAAGGGCAAATATTGCGTCGGTGCATCCTCTTCCCTTTCTAAATCCTATTTGGGCCTCACTCAGAAATGGTTCAACGTTATGTCTTGTTCGCCATTCCAATATCTTGCCGAACATCTTGCCCACATGGCTCAGCAGTAAAATGCCTCTATACATTCCAGAGTCGCTTTTACTGCCTCTCTTCTTCCAGATTGGTAATATGACCGCTTTTTGCCAGTCGCCGGGAACTGTTCTTTCTGTCCACGCTTTCTGGAAGATTTTTGTGAGCTAAGTTATTCCAGTTTCACCACATACTAGGATGGTCTCCGTGGTGAACTCATTTATTCCTGTGCTTCTGTTTTTGGGCTGGTTTTAACTGCTTGTCTGACCTCTGATGATGGGATGGTTGATTCTCCTTCCTCTGGGTGACTTGGTTGGAATTCTTTGTTTGTTTGCTTTTGAGTGGTGTTCAAAAGCTCCAGAGAAATATTCCCTCCATCTAGATTTAATTTGGAGCTGTCGATAATAGGGTTTCCAGTTTTGTCATTAATTACAGCTGTTGGGTCGTACGGGTTTTCCCTGACCATCATTGATTTTACATTTCTGTAGAAGTCACGAGGTGATTTATGGCACAGTTCGCTTAGGTGTTCTCCATATTTTGCCCATGATTCATTTTTTGAGGCTGTACAACTCTTTTGCAGTTCCTTCTTGCTAATCTCTATTGCGTGTAGACGTTTTGGTCCTTGGATTTTATCCATTCTGAAGAAAAGTTTCTTCTTTTCTTTGATGGCCTCTTTGACACTGTCATTCTACCATGGTGTTCCTTTAATGGATTATCTCCCAATTCTCTTCTTTCCAGATACTTTTATCAATGTTTCTATTAGCAAGTTTTTAAAGAGGGTCCATGTTTCTTCAACGTTCATTGCACTGGTGTCTTGGTTTTCTCGTCTTTTTGTGATCTCGTCCTCTACTTTCTGCACATTGCCCTGTTATTGAGTTTTCATAAATTAATTTTCTCTAAATGTTTCTTCTTCTGTTTTCGCGTGTGTTTTCTCTCTCTTTACTCATCATCATCACTTGTCGATGGTCTGTATCAAAGGTGATATTTGGGATTGATCTTGCATTAGTTGCTTTTGTAACAACCCGCCCCCCCCCAAACAAAAACAAACAAACAAACAAACAAACAAACAAACAAACAAACAGGCAAACAAACAAAACAAAACCTTTTAGTAACCTTGTGTTTCCCCGTCACCTGTCTGTTCAGATTTCGAAATAAGTTGTTCTGGGTCTACCGCTGCTTCGTTTGCCTTCTATTTATCTAGAGAGAGAGCAAGCTGTTCAAAGAAGTTTCTTTCAGTATTTCATCGTTTGATTTGCTTTCCTTCCATAAAATTTTCAAAAATCTCCAAAGAAACATTTCTGTTGCTTTTATTTTTATGTTCACTATTTCTTATAATAATTTATTGTCGGACTTTCACAGGCGTAAAGAAGGGTTGACCACATATAACCTTTTAGAACCCTTAAATTTAGTAGTCATCTAGATGTTTCTATTTTCAGAAAACCATATTTTAATAAAGATTTACAGAATACCCGTTGCCCCGCCCCTTCCCCCAACCACACTTTTCCTCTTGGAATAAAATAAATGTATTTCCATATCGTTTAGAATTAAAGTTCCTAAAATAAGCTTCCTCCCGTTCCAACTGTTCCCCGAACAATCAGCCTTTTCATGATGATTAGAATGAAGATTCCAGACTTGTCATTCTCGTGTAAAGCAGAATTATGTGGTTTGATGCGTATAATAATAACTCTTTTGAACTACAAGATTACATATTATCTCCTTTTTCTCCTTTGTCTCGCTGTTTCAAAAACGTGAGGACCTCCCCCCCC